CGCGGAACTCCGTTTCACACCAGTCTGGTAGTGAATACGCCAGCTACCATGGACGAACTCAATGAGAGAGCCGATGGCTTTGTGCGCCTCGAAGAAGAGGAGGCAGCTAATGCTCGGACAACGTCGCTTGTGTCGACCGAGGAAAAGTCCAAGGCAAAGATCAGGCAGAAGCAGGCTCAGCCGCAACGTCAGACCACTTGGAAGGCCGAAAAAAGGTCCAGGGAGGAAGAGTTGATTACTCCGCTGAAGGTCACTCTGGCGAGGTTATATCAGGAGAACAAGGACAAGTTTCATCCACCACTGCCAATTAGACAACCCCTCGAACAGAGGGATCAAACTAAACATTGTGCTTTTCATTCTGATTTCGGACATCAGACTAACGAATGCAGGAACCTGAGGAGGCAAGTGGAGATGTTGATAGCTAGAGGGGAGTTTGCGAGTTATGTTCAAGGCTCGGCGATGGAGCAGAATCGACCAGTGGAACAAATAAAAAGGAGTCATAAACAAAGCTCCCACAATTCGCAACCAGTTCGTATAATCAATGCTATCCATGGTCGACCCGAGCCTAGTGAAGAGCCAGATGAGCTGCTACGGGTGCGCCTGCGGCAGGCACAGATGAAGAAAAGGGTCGGCAATGTGACCACTCTACACCAACAGAGCCCGTCAATGCAGATAAAGTTCGACTGGACAGACCTGCAGCGTGTCCAACTGCCTCATGACGACCCGTTGGTAGTCAGTTTGACAGTGGCAGAGTGCTTGGTGCGCAGAGTTCTGATCGATCCTGGGAGCAGTGCGAATGTTATGCCAAGGGACACATTTGACAGGCTCGACATTAAACCAGAGAGGCTCAAGCCCACCGGAAATCCCTTATTAGGGTTCGATGGGAAGAGGGTGGAACCCGTCGGGATGGTGGAAGTAGAAGTTCAAGCTGCAGAGCGAGCTCTTATGGAAACTTTTGTGGTTGTGGAAATTCACCCCTCGTATAATCTCCTGATGGGAAGAGGATGGATTCACAGAGTCCGAGGTGTACCCTCAACTCTGCATCAGGTCATGAGGTGCCTCGGGCCCGATGGAGATAAAGTGATAGACATTCGGGGGGATCAGGTCGCAGCCAAAGAGTGTTATTCCGTCACACTAAAGCATGCAGGGAAGGGAAAGGCGCCCGTCCGGTCGACAAGCCCCAGATAGCAATTACAGGAACCTCCACTCGAGCAGAATAGGGTGGAGGAGTCAGCCGACTTGACCGAGGAGCCCCTTCTGGATGTGCAGATCGATCAGTCCAGGCCAGAACGAACTACCAGAGTGGGTATAAGACTGACCAGAGAAGAGCAGCAAGAGCTAGTGGATTTCTTATCCCACAATGTCGACGTATTTGCATGGAGTCATCTCGACATGCCTGGAATTAGTCCTTCCGTCTCCTGTCATTCCCTGAATGTCAATCCTAATTTCAAACCAGTGAAACAGAAGCAGCGAAGATTTGCTCCAGAACGTAATCAGATCATAACGGAAGAAGTTGATAGGCTGCTTGATGCGGGATTTATCAGAGAGGTGCACTACCCTGAGTGGTTGTCCAACGTCGTTGTGGTGCAGAAGAAAAATGGGAAATGGCGCGTATGCATTGATTTCACCAATTTAAACAAAGCCTGCCCGAAGGACAGTTTCCCGTTGCCTAAGATTGATCAAATGGTGGATGCCACCACGGGGTATGAGCGTTTAACCTTTCTGGACGCATATTCAGGTTATAATCAGATTCCTATGGACCCCGCAGATGAAGAAAAAACTTCTTTTGTCACCGAGCGAGGAACGTACTGCTACAAGGTTATGCCTTTTGGATTAAAGAATGCGGGAGCAACTTATCAACGACTTGTCAGCAAAGTTTTTAAGAATCAAATGGGTAAGATTGTCGAAGCCTATATTGATGACATGGTGGTGAAAAGTAGGAAAAAGGATGATCATCTGAAGCATCTGCAAGATGTATTTGATGTACTAAAGCGATATGGGATGAGGCTCAATCCGACCAAGTGCTCGTTCGGTGTGAGTTCCGGGCAGTTTCTGGGACACGTGGTCAACCGCAGGGGCATCGAAGTTAGCCCCGCTCAAGCAGAGGCTTTGATTAAGAATGCCGAGCCAAAGACGATCAGAGAGGTGCAAGCCCTAACAGGACGAATAGCTGCATTAAGTCGATTTATTTCAAAGTTGTCAGACCACTGCAAACCATTCTTTGACACGATTCGGAGCCATGGAAGGCAGGTCTGGGGGGATGAGCAACGACAGGCATTGACTCATTTGAAGCAATATATGCAGAATCCGCCAGTCCTGTCAGCCCCAGAACCGGAAGAAAAGTTATTTCTATATCTTGGAGTATCTGGTGTCGCGACGAGTGCCGTTCTGATTCGTTGCAAGGAAGGGGTGCAATACCCAGTATTTTATGTAAGCAAGACACTGATGGAGGCAGAAAAAAGATACTCAAAGGCCGAACGGGTGGTACTTGCACTTGTAAATGCAAAAAGAAAGTTAAGGCATTATTTTGAATCCCACCCCATAGCTGTTCTAACAACTTTCCCAATCAGAACGCTCATGCACAAGCCAGAGCTCTCGGGCAGAATGACAAAGTGGGCCATAGAGTTGAGTTCATTTGACATAACGTACGAGCCGAGAACAGCTATTAAAGGGCAAGCGGTGGCCGATTTCCTACTAGAATGTGATGCCGAAGATACGGAAGAGGACCTTAGAAGCGGCTCTTGGAAACTTTTTGTGGATGGCTCCTCTAACCCGACGGGGGCTGGGATTGGGATCAAACTGCAAACCCCAGAAGGTACTTCCTTGAGCCAAGCACTCAGACTTGAGTTCCGAGCCACCAATAATGAAGCGGAATACGAGGCGTTGCTAAATGGATTAAAGTTGGCCAAAGAGCTACAGATCAAAAGTTTGACAGTGTATAGTGACTCGCAGCTGATTGTTCGGCAGGTAAATGGTGAGTACGCAACCAAGGATGACATGATGGGGGCATACCGTTCTGCCGTTCTGCGTAGAGCCAAGGACTTTGCAAAGATTGAATTCATACAGTTGCCGAGGGAACAGAATGCAGATGCAGACCGTTTAGCATGCAGTGCTTCAAGTTGTGGTGAAACATTGGCGAGGGTGATTCCAGTGGGAATAGTGACCCAGCCGTCCATTTTCGAAGAACCGATGGTCTCGGACCCTTGGCAAGTCAACGTCATACCGTATGAACCGAGTTGGATTGACCCAATCATTACCTATATTCGAGATGGCGTTTTGCCTATGCAAAGGGATGAAGCTAGGAAACTCAAAAAGAATGCTGCCAAGTACGCCATCGTGCGGAACCAGCTGTACAGAAGGTCCTATTCTGGCCCGTACTTGAAATGTGTCACCCCCGCGGAATCGCAGCAGGTATTGCGAGCTATTCATGAGGGTGTGTGTGGCAATCATTCTGGGGGAAGATCGTTAGCGCATAAAGCAATGACACAAGGGTATTTTTGGCCAAACATGTCAAGAGATGCGGAGGAGTTCTCTCGAAGGTGCGATAAGTGCCAACGATATGGACCAATGATCCACCAACCACCTGAAGAATTGCACGTAATGGCCTCGCCGTGGCCTTTCGCGCAATGGGGGATGGATGTGGTCGGTCCTCTGCCAACTGCAAGAGCTCAGAACAAGTATGTGTTACTGGCCACGGATTATTTCACTAAATGGGTGGAGGCAGAACCGTATCCTAGCGTGACTCAGACTCAGGTGAGACGATTTATCTGGAACAACATTATCTGCCGCTTCGGTGTTCCCAGAACAATAGTCATGGACAATGGCACAAACCTCGACAGCAGGCAAGTAAGAAAGCTGCTGGAGGAGTATGGAATCAACCAGAAGTTGGCTGCAGTAAGTCATCCTCAGGCTAACGGACAAGCAGAAATCACAAACAGAACCATTTTCGCCTGCATTAAGAAGAAGCTGGAAGATCATAAGGGGAAGTGGTTGGATGAACTCCCGAACGTTCTATGGGCTTACAGAACCACCCCAAGGCGGCCGACTGGGGAGAGCCCGTTCGCAATGGCGTATGGTACCGAAGCAGTTATACCGGTTGAGCATTTAGTCCCCACTATCAGAAGCTTAGCATGGAGTCGAGATCAGAACGACAAGATGTTAAGATTGAACCTCGACATGATAGACGAAAGGAGGGACGCAGCGGCTATAAGGCTAGCATCGTATCAGCAAGTGCTGGCGAATAGTCACAATAAGAGAGTAAAACACAGGGATTTTGCCCCGGGCGATCTGGTTCTGAAAAGAAAGGTGGGGATGGTCAAAAAAATGATGCCACCCTGGGAAGGCCCATACAGAATTGCAGAAGTCATTGGCAAAGGGGCATATACGTTGGAAACCATGGCGGGAAAGTTGGTCAACAAGCCCTGGAACGCCACGTCTCTGAAGAGGTACTATCAATAGAAGCTAAGTTCTGGTTTTAATTGGATGTTATTTGTTGTTAATCAAATACATATGAATGAGCAAGTTACCGGAATTTACAAAAAAAGAAGAGAAGAATTTTCTTTTCCAATGTTCTACTATAAAAATTGAAAGCCAAGTGGCAAGTGGCATTCTAGCCGAGCGCCAGGCACTTAAGCAAGATAAGTGGCATCTGGCACTATAAGCCGAACGCCAGACACTTGCTAAAAATTGAAAGCCAAGTGGCAAGTGGCATTCTAGCCGAGCGCCAGGCGCTTAAGCAAGATAAGTGGCAGCTGGCACTATAAGCCGAACGCCAGACACTTGCTAAAAATTGAAAGCCAAGTGGCAAGTGGCATTCTAGCCGAGCGCCAGGCACTTAAGCAAGATAAGTGGCAGCTGGCACTATAAGCCGAACGCCAGACACTTGCTAAAAATTGAAAGCCAAGTGGCAAGTGGCATTCTAGCCGAGCGCCAGGCACTTAAGCAAGATAAGTGGCAGCTGGCACTATAAGCCGAACGCCAGACACTTGCTAAAAATTGAAAGCCAAGTGGCAAGTGGCATTCTAGCCGAGCGCCAGGCACTTAAGCAAGATAAGTGGCACTATAAGCCGAACGCCAGACACTTGCTAAAAATTTAAAGCCAAGTGGCAAGTGGCATTCTAGCCGAGCGCCAGGCACTTGCCGTACAAACACACAGCAAAACTAGTATAAAAAGAAAAAGAGAGAAAAGATATATATGTACTGAAGATAAGTTGAACAGAGCACAACACATAGAGAAAAAGAGTTCGGCCATTTCATTAATATTGAACATTTAGTTTACAAAAGAGAGGTGTCCATCATTACAAGAAGATATGAACTGGAAGAATTCGAAGGAGCCCTAGCTAGACGCCTCAGTACCAACAGCATCCTGGTCCTGCCGACTCGCCTCCTCGGCCCCATCAGCCGCCTCACCTTCATGAGGTGGGGAATCCAGGTGAATAACTGAGTCGTTCGGCTGGGGTTCAGCGTCAGCAGTGGCTACAGAGGGAGCCACGGTTGACGATTGGGGAGCGGTCAGTGGCAGAGCGGTAGGAGGAGCTGTGATGATCCTTGAGGATGCGATGTCCTGGCACTCATCAAATATACGCTCCGCTTCGGTGGGTTCTGGGTCGACATAGACCCCCAGAGGCTCGATCCCCAGATCCTTGTCTACCTCATCCGGAGTGGAGCTGGTCTGTCCCTCATCCGGAACCCGGTCGGCGAAGCCTTCCCGGAATCCTTGAGCATACCGAAGAGCACCGACCCTGGAGAACCGAGCATGAAGGGCCAGCATCCCACCACCCACTCTGCTGATAACGTCGATCAGAGCGGTACGCTCGTCCAGAGCTCTTTTTTCAAAAGCCATCCGAGCAGACTGTTCATCAGCTAGAAGACGTTGGAGTTCTGCCTTCTCTTCTCTGAGTGATTCCTGCTCAGTCTGCCAGACGCTCTTCTCGAGCTGGAGGGCGTCCTTCTCATCCTGAAGGGAATCATTCTCCTTTTTCAGGACATCTCTCTCTTGCTCGGCTTTGTCAAGCCGAACCAGCACCTCGGTATTCTTCATGGCAAGGAGGTCGTTCTCTTTATTAGCCACCTCCAGGCTGTCAGAATACTTTCGGGCCCTGGCGTTCCCCATTTCCACCTGCTTCTGCATGGCCATCATCCCAAACAATGTCTGCATAGGTGCACAATAAGAACGGTTAAACCAATAGTCAGAACGGGAGAAGGCAAGACCAAGTAATATAAGAGAATTCATGAGTTAGAAAATAAAAGTCACCTCCATAGCAGATTGGGGAAAGCGACTGAACACGTCCTTCTGGGAAAGGCCCTTTGCCGCCTCAATGTCCTTCGGAGTCCACATGCTCCTGTAGTAGGCCATAGCGGTCTGGCCATCCTTCAGCATGGTCTCGTTCGGTTTCACGAACGTCCCATCCGTTCGAGTGTACCGAGGGGCCCATGGCGGCAAGCTGGGGATAGAAGGGGGGCCTGAAGCAGAAGCAGAGCCACCAGCTGCAGGAGGCCCAGATTGAGAAGGAGCTCTGATCGCTCGGTGCAAGAGAGTACCCGGCCCAGAGACTCGGGTCCTTCTAATAAGAGGCTCCTCCTCAGGGTCGATTTCACTGTCAGGATGAGGCCTTTTGCCTCGCTCTTTGTCCCGACCGCCCCCCGCAGCAGCAGGAGCTATGGTAGCTGGGGAGGGCGCGTTCTGGTTGGCCGCAGGGGCGCTGGCCGCCGGGTTAGTAGCCACTGCGCTCGGGACAGTGTCAGATATGGTGGCTGAAGAAGAAGCCGACGCTGGAGAGGAGGTCGCCCCAGCAGCAGGAATGACTGGGGGAGTATTTTTCCTCCTGCCAAAAGAGGGAATCTGCAGTCTGCTCATATTGTAGCCGAGTGATGAGAGCGCAAAGAGGTTGTCTGAAGTGAGGAGATCTGAGCAGGAAGGAATATCGTTCAGAACGTATCTCTTCAAGTAGTTAATCCTATCCCTGCAAACACTGTAGCTCAAGTCATCACAAGGTATTCCCAAGGAGCGGCATAAGTAAGTGCAAAAACGAGGAACGCATGTTTCACAGGGGCAGTCGTGTTTATGGGATTTGAATTTTTTATAGGAGGAGACAGAGCAGACACCAAAGGCGCTCGGGATAGGGTAATCCTCTGCAGCCGGTGAAGACCAAGCCCCACTAATACCCACTATGCTATCCCTCCAACCCTTTTCAGATTTTATTGTGTCAGTGCATATGGACATCTTCTCGAACGGGTAGAGGTGGTAGAAGGGCTCGTTAGTACGGATCTTACTGACCTTATAGCACAGAAGGAGGTCTATGAGGTCAAGGTCCAGATTTCTGTCACGCATCAATAAGAGCATAACAGATATGATCCTAAAGAAGTTGGGGTTGACCTGCAGAGGGGATATCCCCAATCTGTTGAAGACATAACTAAAGAAAGGGTGCAGAGGGAACCTAACAACATTCAGTTGAAGGTTTGTGAATAAGACTTCGCCGGGCAGGAGGCCGGCGCCGGTCGTAATATTAACGTCTTGGGGGCAAACCCTAACTACGATGTTGTCAGGAAGCCTAAGTCTCATGCGAAGGACACCCAGATCTACAACCATGGTGGAAGTGCAAGAAGAATCTAAAAGAGGGAAAATGGAAGCCTGCCGAAAGTAAAAAAAACGAAACTAACCTCGGAGGACTGCAAGATCGCTGGGAGAATGACTCTCGAAGGATTTCACCGGAAAAGGCTTAGCACAGTTCTAGAAAGAGGGAGATTTGGCTGATGATGGAGACGGTAAAGGGAAGTGAAGTGGAATTCGAGAGCATTATATAGGCAAGGGGGCCCGAGGGCCGAAGCGTCGGGAAGGCAAGAAATCCCTCGAACCCCGGAACATTGATTCTGGATCTGACCGTTCGCTCCCCCACGTGGTTATCTCGAGCCGTCAGCGTCATGATGAGACGCCATCAATAATTACCCCTTATTAAATAAGGGGCAATCATGGGGGCAGTTGAGGAGGCCCTGGATGACATGGGCCAGGTCCGACTCGCAAAACACAACCTTCAGTCCGAACAGCTGGGTCAGCCCATAAAAAGACACTGCCATATGGGCCGAGCGGGAGTAAGCCCATCAAGAGTGACCAGGGCTTACTGAGGAATAGGCCCAGGTCCAGCAATTAGTAAATATCTTGTAAATATCTTGTAAATATCTATAAATAGGAGTTGGAATGAAGAGGAGGGGGATCTTGATTCGGGTTGAGGTGTAAGAATTCTAGAGAGAGAAAGAATAGAAGGAGTTTCTTGCATCTTCAATGATATATTGGTTTCTCACACAATATGTTTCTATTTTCACGAGGTACAATACTGAAGCAACTCGAAAATACAACCAAAATCTAGCTATTGAAGAAGACGACCTGGAAAAAGAAAGGACAAAATTCCCATCGCCAATACAGAGTTCACATGATAGAAGATGACTATTTTGTGGATGCTTCCTGCTTAAAAAGGAAGAGAGAATTGCAGAACTGAAAATTCCAATCAAGGAAGGTGTAAAGCTATATATTTCAAGGAGCTAATTAGATTCATGGATATATATTGTCCATCCACATAGAAGTAGTCTTTGGGTATAGATACTGGATAGCTAAACATGCAGAGAAGCAGAGTTGGTGTAGTAAACTAAAATGGGAATTACCTAATCTATCAACATGGAGCGGTGAACAGGTGCCGCTACATGATGGGGTTTTTCTCTTAAAAAAAAAAAATATAGATTCAATGGGTTATTAAATTAATTCATTTAGCTAAAGAACAAAGTATATGATTGGAAGAATATATGCGAGTAACAATGATCAACAATCAGATTCCTCATGAGGTGGGGTTGAATATCTTCCAAGAGGCTTGTAGCAGAAAGCACAAGAACTAATTAAGCATCACCAACATATTTATTCACTAAAGTAAATATTTACTGTAGTAAAAGGGAAAAAAAAATACGAGGTGTAGTATATTGTAATATAACCTTGACCTTGGCAGGTGAGCTTGTCTGGTTGGTCACAAATAATAAAATTAAAGTTTTGTGTAGTGGAGGGAGATCGCACGGGCTTGCCCGGGTTCTCTCATCCGATGTGTGTGTGTTTGTATTTGTGTGTGCTTGCATCTCTCTCAATTTTACCACTTCCTAATTTGCTACTTTGCAATGTTGCAACTAACATAATGGAAAAGCAAATGCATCTGGAAGCGCTAACAAATTATTCATCTCTGATTTTTCAAATGAGATATTATCAGTGATGAATTATTGGACAGGAAAAAAAAAAAAAGAGGAAGTAAGTGGTGGGTTGAAGAATAAGAAAATGATGAAAAAGAAAAATGAAAATGAGAGAGAAAAAGAAGGAAGTGGTGGAGTGAAGTGAAGTAAAAAAAAAAAAAAAAAAAAATTCAAGAGTTGGGTTGTGAAGGAAAAGAAAGAAAATTAAAAAGACCAAGTGTCTTATTAGGACATAATCCAATATATGTCGAGGGCGATGGGCCTAAGCCCCAAGGGAGTCATTAATAACACTCATTTTAGGAGGTTTCCCGAGGAGATTCTTTCCTGTTCATCTCTATGGCATCAGTGTTGTGATGTGATGTTAAGGAAGGGCTTTGCTCTAAATGAATTCGAGGCGAGCATACTCTCGCAAGGTATAGGTCACATATATCCTTGGAGGATTCACCTAAGTGAAAGTTGTCGTGAGGCCGCGACTGTGGGAGTTAGGCTGTTCCCTAGAGCTTTCATGAGAATCAAGATACCAGTGCAAGGCCATTAATCGCGCTAACCTGCTAAACCAAGTCTATTGTCAATACTATGTGTGTGGTATGTTAAGGTTTGGTTTAAGGAACCGAATTCAAGACTTAGTTCATTCAAGTTCCTCAAATGGAGACTATCACACTAAGTGTAGGTTCAAGCCCACAAAGCACCTACGCTGATTGCATAGTATAAATATTTTACTTATTATTTTATTAAAATAGTTGGGGATTGTTGAGAATATTTTAATAAAAATATAATTATATTGTATTAATTATGGTTTAATGGGATTTTATTCCACTAATTAAATTATACTTATGGTGTATATTATTTCTATCATTATTATACCTTAGCGGTTACATATTTTACTCCCTATATATACTCTATATATAAAACATCTATAGGACTTTTTGAATATTTGGCAAGATCATAGAGTGACACTTTTGTAAGGGTTGTAAGCCTATTCTATTTTTTCCTTCGAGAGTTATTTAAATATTGAGTTTATGAGCAACTAGAATTATATAGACTTGGACCTAGTCTTCCTGTGGTCGTGCACATGGAGGAGACACCACTGCGAGCTGATTGGGTTGTATCTTGAAATTGACTAGTTTTACCAATACCCGCTCGAAGGGGAGGACTATCAACTTTAGGTCAATGTGTTTACACATGCCTCAACACTCAGGCCAGCTCTTTCTTACCTATTTTATTATTGTTATTTTCATTCTTAATTTCTATTATTATTTTAATCTCATTTATTTATCATGTTGAGTTCTTATTCATCATTATATCTATGTTGTTCAATTGATGTATTATACAATTTTGTGAAAGTATTTTATTTGATTATTCGTTGTTGTTGTTGTTCATTTTCATTGAATCATTGTTATATGTATATTTTATCTATAAAGATGTGAAATTTCCACAACAGAGATATATATATATATATATATATATATATATATATATATATATATATATATTTTACTTGATGACTTTCAATAAGTTTATCAAGCATACATCTTGTTAGGGGTTAGAATTTGAGTTTTCAGCAAGTTCTTTCGCACTTCTGAGCATACCAGGTGAAATACAACACTCAAATCATCCCAACACCACCACAAATTGTCGGAAAACACCTTACACGCTCCCCCATGCACCGCCAGAAGGTTCAACCAGCTTTTTTCGTCCTCCATGCACCGCTACGCGCTCAGGTGCGTCAGATCCACGCGCGCAAGCCACGTCAACAAGCCACGCCAGCACTACCATGTCAGCTACCACATCATCCAGTGCCATGTCATTAGTGCTACGTCATCGTTGCCACCTTAGCGTTAGTGTCAAATTTTTTTTTCTGAACATACCTATTCAGCCCAGTTTTTCACGCTGATTCCGAATTCACAGTCCGCTTTTGCATTTGGAATTTTTAAATGGCCGAAAATGAGGTAACCAACCCTATTTCAGTTATTCTTAATAGTGACAATTACTCTTTTTGGAGTCAAATTATGCACAGTTTTTTGAAAGGTCGTAAGTTATAGTCCTATGTCACTGTAGATCGTACTACACCTACTCAAGCCACAACAGGACATCAAATGCCTATGCCACACGTGTTGAAGACTAGGACAGTAACAATCACAAGATGTGATACCCCCGGATTTCCGAATGCGGGTTGGCCAGGCCCATGCCCGACTACCCGAGGATATCAAACCAATTAGCAATAAATGAACACAGAATACAATCCAGATAAATAGAAATAAATAAAACTGCTGAAAAGAAACTAGAATGATAAACCAAAACTGAAACCTCAAAATAAATTTTATAAATAAAGAATTATTCTGATACATCCAACTTCTCCATTTTTAATACAACTCGGGAATCCATCTGATGGACCCCTAATAAACTCCAACACTGGAAAAATAATAACTAAAGAACTCCAATGCTAAACCATGAAGAAAACTCCTACATCGTCGGAAGAATAAGTAACCGTTTCTGCTCAGCACGAACAAGATCTACAACCTGGAACCGTCCGTTACCTGACAAATAATAGTGGGTCAGGCCCACAAACAAGTTCTAATCTAACTACAATCCATACAGAGACCCGATACGCAGATACACCCTAGATACCTTACAATATCTAATTAATCCATAAGTATATATATATCCACACTAAGGACATTCACTGGACTATAATATGGGTCTCAACCTGAATAGAAAATATCATGCGAAAACGCATCCAAAGGTGGGCATGAGTACTTAGACCTAACAGGGTACACCTACTTACTATATCCAGCTACGCATCCACTGCATATACGCACCCTAACCAACGAGTCTGAGACTCAAGATCATCTCGTGGTACCATAATCATATATCTAAAGTCCGTCAAAAAACCAGAGTATGTCATTCACTTATTCAATAAGAGACATACAAAAATACCGTCCAGATAAGCACTCAACTTATTTAGCTGATGTGTCTTAACCACAACCAGTTAATCTAGGGAGTCATTCAACCTAGTCAGTTGATTCAACTCAAACATATTAATGAATTCAATATTTTACAATCTATACTTTCCATCCGGTAGGTTAGGTCTTAGTGTTTTGAGCTAAACCGTCCCCAGTATGCCACCGTCCCATACCGGTGCATACAATCCTCCATATCCATGTAAATTACAATATATAAATCATAATTTAGTAATTTACAATCCAAACCATTATCCAAATAATTGCAGAAAACATTTCATTATTCTATCAATTGCAATCTAACAGTAATCCAAATAATTGCAGAAAAAGTTTAATATTTCAACAATTAGCATCCCAAAGCATGTATAGATAAAAAAAAATACATAGATGACCCTATCATGCATTTAAAAATAAGTTTTATAAACATCCTAAATCCCATTAAATTGCTACAATTTAGTTAAGCAATTAATCCCCCTTAATCCCCCTTTCATCCGTTAACAGTATAGAAAATTTACTATTTTAATACTGTTTGTCCCACTGACTCAGAGGCCAACTTTGATCAATCTAAGGTTTTAGTAACATCCAAAATAAACCATTAAATCCCTCCGTGAAGTCCCAAAATTTCAGAACAATTCAATTCCTTCCACTCGTTACCAGTATGTTAAATTGTATAGTTTTATACTGTCCATCCTTTAGTGTAAAGACATAAACTATGCAACAAGAGGCTTTAACCACACTTGAAATTAGTATTAAGAACCCAGTATGCTCACCACACAGTTCAGACCAAATTAAAAACATCCAAACATCACCTAAAACTTCAGAAAATCAATCCTCGTGAGAGACTACTCTAAAACCAAAAAGGAGAAGGCTCCAAAAACAAAAGGAGAAGGCTCTAAAAAAAAGGAGAAGGCTCTAAAAAAAGAGAGAAGTCTCCAAAAAACAAAAGAGAAGGCTCCAAGAATTCCTGGAGCCGTCTCCAAGAGGGTAGAGCAGGCTCTACCTCTCCTAGAGCCAGCTCTACAATTGGGGGGAGCCGGCTCCCTCCTTCTGGAGCCGGCTCTCTCCCTCTCTGAGAGCCGTCCGCGATTCTGTGTATTCTACGACCTTCGTCCCCGACTCCGGCTGCTTCCAATCCTCTCTGTTTATTTTAAACCTGAACCTAAATGTCCCAAGTATGTCCAGTATCATCCAGATTCATTATTCATACCAAATAGCATTACTAAAATCCTTTAACACCTACCGATTATAGTATGCTTATACAAACAAGTACTGTAACCAAACTTTCCAAAAATCATCACAGAACTAATTCAAGGTAAAAATATGATTAATTTGACATATAAAAACATGCACAATTTAGTTATTGATCCATTAAAACCCTAGAGCATACCTAGGTGCACAGAACACAAGCCAAAGGGAAGGAGGAAGAAAAGAACTTGCCTATGATTTCAGTTGAAATCCTGGTGTCGTGTCCACTGTTCCGGCAACACCGAGTTACTGTCTAGCCTCCTTCTACTTCTGCTCTTCCCTTCTCCTAGGTCTGACTTTGAAGCCTCAGTCGGAAACCTCACAGACTTGCTCTGTTTCTCTCAAACCTTTACTTTGTATCTCTCTGTGTTTTGATACGTGAATAGGGTTTTCCAACCCTTCCTTCAGACTATAACCATATATATATAGGCACAGATAAAACCTAATTCCAATGCTAATCCACGACAGAAACCCTAATCTAAATTAAACCCTAGTCGGCCTATAGGATAAAACCCTCGTTAGAAACTTTGTTGCTTCCACCTACAGAACTTCTAACAGTTTCAGTTATGAAATCCCTAAAGACTTTATTAACGTAATTAAAAATTTGAACCTCTATATTAATAAATCAAGGACACACAAATAATAAAAACAATTCAGATAATTTAATTAAATCCAGTAATACAAATAAAACAAATAATGCCATTAAATAATTAATTCTAATTAAATAGAATAATTAATCACGTAAAAACAATTCAAATACACAATTAACAATTAAATCAAATAGAAATAAAATAATTAAACACATAAGCAAATAGACACAAAAATCAATTAAAAATGCACAAAAATAAACGTTAAATTCCAATTTTATCATTTTGAAAAATGGGGGTATTACACAAGATTATTACATGGTTACGTAACACATCCAATTCTTCCATTGGTATGGAATTTGGGAGTTACGAGACAACCAAGGAGATCTGGGACATGCTTGTCTCTCACTACTTTGGTTCTGATGGGGCTTGCTAATTTCAATTAATGGTTCAACTTTCTACTCTTAGACAAGAATCAGGTTAGCGAATTAATGAATTCTTCTCTCAGATGAAATGCTTATGGGATCAATTAGCTATTTCCGAACCGACATGGGAACATCCTTTTGAAGCAAAGAAATTTCTCGAGTATCACAACTAGATCTGGTTTTATCAGTTTCTGATGAGTCTTCATGATGATTTTGAACCAGTACGTAGTCAACTTCTCCATCGCTCACCTCTTCCCTCACTTGATCAAGCTCTCAATGAACTTGTTCGAGAAGAGACAAGCTTACAAACTCATCGTTCTTAGAATCCTATCACTGTTTTAGCCACACCATCTTCAGCTCCTCAGACAGTGCCATCTCAGTCAGCACCAGCTCGTTCTACCTCATTTTTCCGACAAAATGGAAGCAAAAATACTAGTCAGTCTAGCTTTACTGGACTCAACAAAAACAATCGATCTGGCTCTTTGCAATCCAACAACAAAAAGGACTATTCAGGTCTTTACTGTATTTTCTGTCGGCTTCCGGGGCATAACGTTGACTTTTATCGTACTCGTGCTCGACTCTCCACTATAACTGTGGCAAACACCGAATATCTGTCACCACCGTCTTCAACTCTAGTCAATAACTCTTCTGGCAACTCTACACCTGCCTTATCTATTTTCTTTGCCACTGACCTTGAGGCAGTTCTCAACCAGGTGCATCTTCCACTGTTCTTTCTACTACACCAGGTAAACATAGTTCTTGGTATTTTGACTCTACTTGCTGTAATCACATAACACCTGATCCTACCTTACTCATATCTCAGACTCTATTTCTCACTCTCCTGTCATATACACAATCGATGGTTCCACTATGGCTGTTAGTCACATAGGAACTGTTTCTCAATCTCAGTTATCTATGCCCGATGTTTATCTTGTTCAAAATCTTTCTCTTAATATTTTATCTGTTAGACAATTAACTGAGTTTGGATTGATCATAACATTTTCTTCTAATGGTTGTGTTGTATAGGATCCTCGGACAGGACAGATCATTGGGACATGCCATAAGATAGGACGACTGTTTGAACTTTCTTCATTACATCTGCCTACTACCACTATTTTTGCTGCCTCTACACGATCCACCTCTCCTAATCTTGAGTTATGGCATTCTCGTTTGGGTCATGCGTCATTATCTCGTGTCAAAACCCTTGCATCTACGGGTTTATTAGGTCAGGTTAAATTTGAGTCTTTTGATTGTATTTCATGTTAATTGGGAAAACAGCCTGCTTTACCATTTAATAAAAGTGAGTCTTTTGCTTCTGCTCTATTTGATCTTATTCATTCTGATGTTTGGGGACATTCGACTATATTTACTATGGGAGGCTCACGATATTTTGTTGTTTTTGTTGATGATTTTTCACGATTCACATGGATTTTTTTAATGAAAAATCATTCTGAATTACTTAAAATATTTTGTGATTTTACTCAAATGATTGCTACTCAGTTTTCCAAACCAATCAAAATGTTTCGGTCTAATAATGCTCAAGAGTATCGACAACATGAATTTCAAAAAATTCTTCAACATTACGG